GTGGGCTACATGGTGAGACCCTGTCTTACCTGTCTCAAAAAAAAAACAAACCCTAAAGGTCCACCAGTGGCACAATAAGAAAATAAACAGAGGGGCATTGGGGAGCATATGTAAATTCCCAGCACTGGGGATACTGAGGCAGGAGGACCGCTGTGAATTCAAGGCAGCTTGGCTTATGTGAGTGAGGGCAACCTTAGCTATGCATCAGAACTCCATATCAAAAAATATAAACTAAACTTGTTAAATAAAAGCTATGTTTGGAGAAGTGGTTGTCCTGTTTAATGGAATTCTTTTTGTGTGTGTGTGTGTGTGTGTGTGTGTGTGTGTGTGTGTGTGTGTGTGTTTTGAGAAAGGGTTTCTTTGTGTAGCCTAGGATGTCCTAGAACTATCTCTGTAGACCAGGCTGGCCTCAAATTCACAGAGATCTACCTGCCTCTGCCTCCCAAATGCTGGGATTAAAGGTGTTGGCCACCACCGTCCAGCCCTGTTTAATGGAATTCTTCAGATCTGATGTACAGATAGGAGTCACAGTATGTTAGGTAATTAATAATATTTTTATTAAAAAGGAAGGTCCTGCCAGGCAGTGGTGGTGCACGCCTTTAATCCCAGCACTCAGGAGGCAGAGGTAGGTGGATCTCTCTGAGTTTGAGGCCAGCCTGGGCTACAGAGTGAGTACCAGGAAAGGCACCAAAACTACACAGAGAAACCTGTCTTGGGGGGGAAAAAAACTTAGGTCCTTTGGCATCATGTGTTCTTGGCCACTCCCATTGGCTCTTAGAAACTGTGGTTTGACCTTAGCATCCCTGTGAGAATGTGAACATCTTATCTGCCTGTGGCTCCATTGCCACTCACTGCCTTAACCCTGATCCTTTGTGAAATCTCATCTCCTCTCCCAGTTAAGAATGGGACCTTTTTATGTTTAATGCCACTTCCATGACAGGTGGTGTAGTATCATGGTTCTAACCTCAAAGCATTTGCCTTAGAAATCACCAAATGAAAGTCCTAAATTATTAAGTCTTAATTGCCAATTGTCATTCTAAGGTTTAGTTTGAAGATTAAATCGAATGAAGGCAAAGTAAGCCAACTGTCGGGAAGCTATCTGTCGTAGGATAGCATGTGCACAGGCAGATGTGCTATGTATGGTGCAGGCTAATTGATTTTCCCCTCTGGTGCACGCAGCAGCTGTTAAGGAGGGGTGCTGGGACTGCAGAGATGATGGCAACCGAGTAGTCAGGTCCAGTTCCCAGCATCTCCATGGAGGATCACAGCTCCAGGGCATCTGTTGCCCTCCCCTGGCACCAGGCACATGGGTAGTGCGCACTCATACATAGAAATAATAAGTACACATAAAATGCAAAGCGAGATGCAGTCTGACCAAAGAACAGGAAAGCTGGCCACACCTCCCCTTGCACTTCACAATAACCCATCACATTTTCACAGACATCACAGCAGCACACACAAGTGCAGAGCCCTGGGCTGGGGAGAGGCACAAGGATGAAAAGGCTCTGTCGAGACCTCCCTCCCAGGACGAGAGGACGGTGCAAACAGTAATGGAAGAGAAGAAAAGGGGTAAGTGTGAGGATGAACAGACTCACAAGCAGCTCGGTATGCAGAAATCTTGGCATCGCGGGGCGAGAGCTGAGGTTAGGTAGTACAGCAAAATTCCCAAACGTCAGCGAGGAGGTAAGTAAGGCTGCAGGGCAAGGCCACTTACAGGCCCCTCCCCGTCACCACGGAGGGGAGCTCTGCCTGGCTGGTTGCTGGGGCTCCAGGCCTGCCTCTGCCCTTCAGCAGCTAAGATCACCCGGTCTCCGTGTCTTTCCTCATATCTCAGTGAAATCCTGCAGCCTTGTTCTCATGGTTTTGTAAATGTTTAAAGGAAGATGTTACGTCTGCTGAAGGTGGGCCCCAGCACAGAGAACCTGTTCAAATGTTGATCTTTGTTTTTTGACATAAAGTTTAGAAATGACTGTTTTAGGGTCAGAGACATAGTTCCACAGTTGTGTTTGCCTGGCACACACAAGGCCTAGGGCTCAGGGCCCACAGTACAAAATAATTTTGTAATTTGAGACAGAATCTTTCTGTGTAGACCAGGCTGGCCTCCAACTCACAGAGATCCTCCTGTGTGCCACCATATCTGGCCAGAATAAGATTTTTAAGTGTTCAGTTAAGTGGTTTTTGTTTTGTTTTTAGCACATCTGAAATACCACACAGTCGCTATCGCTAGCTAGTTCCAGGACATTCCCATCACCCCAAAGGAAACCCCATTCTAGTTAACAGGTAATCCTTTCTCCCCACTCATCCCTGGTCACCAGGAGCTGACCATTTCATAGGAATCGAACCATACAGTGAGAGGCTTCCGAGTGGCTTCTTCCATTAACTGGAGTCCTCCATGTAGCACGCAGCAGTACTTCAAGTGTCTTTGCGTGAACACCCCGCATTTCACCTGTAGGTAGACATTTCAAAGGTTTATTGTTAGGACTGGTTCCCAGTCTCTGGTTTTGATTTATTATTATTATTATTATTATTATTATTATTATTATTTATTATTATTATTTTGGGGGGGTGTTTTTTGAGACAGGGTTTCTCTGTGTAGTTTTGGTGCCTGTCCTGGATCTCACTCTGTAGACCAGGTTGGCCTCGAACTCACAGAGATCTGCGTGCGCCGCTGCTGCTCTGCTCTGGTTTAGAATTTAAAGACAGTTTCTCACTGTGTATCTCTGGCTGGCCTGGGACTCGTCATGTAACACAAGCTGGCCTCGAACTTGTTCTGTCGTCCTGCCCGTCTCAGCGCTGGGATATAGGCCCTACCTGTGGTTCCAGACCACAGCACCCTGTTACAGTACCAAATACCTTTTATTTGACCTTGACTGACCAGGCTTCTCATAGCCCAATGGAGCGTAACGCTCTTTTTGAGAGAGAAAAGTGAAGCCTAAAGATGGGGAGATCTGCCAGAAAACAAAATAGGGGAATTTTTTTCACTTCCGATTCAGGAGCCACATGGGGTATAGGTGTGATTCCTTACGGGAGGCGCTAGCGTGGGGCTAAGTCTGGTCTCTGACACTTCCAGCTTCCTGGTTCTCTCCCCACCTACTTCCAGCACGTGGAAGCGCTCAGCCAATCGGTTCAGAGCATCTGTAGTTATGGCAACGGGGCTTCCTCGCTCAGTAACGGGTTACCTTTTGCAAAACTTGAAGCTGTTGCACCAAATGGCTAAGCCTGGGGCCTGCCCCACAGCGCCATTGCAGGAACCCGCCGGCTCCCCACAGCAAAGCCATTGGGAGAGGGCCAGGATAGGCTGGAAGCCTCATTGTGCCGTCTCAGCTCTGCCAGAAGGGTTGCCAGGAGTTCCAGCAGGTCGCGACCTCTTCCAGGATTCCCATGCCCAGACTTAGCTTGAGGAGCAGGCCTAGTCACCTGGCTTGGAATCAGAGCCAGGGCTGTTGTGCCTGGGACCCTGCATGTTTCTGGGTTGGACAACAATGGGTCCTATATTGAAGAAGAAACCTAGAGAAGTCAGCTGTCAGTCCCCAGTAAAGTTCTTGGCAAAATGCTGCAACTTGAAAGGTGGAGGACACAGAGAGAAGAGAAGAGGTGTGGGGCCGGCTGGCCTGAAGACCCCAGTCCTCAACAAGGCTCCTCCCCATCCATCTGATGCTTCACCGAGTAATGCTGATTCCCCTGGCCACCTTTCCCCGGCACACAGTCAGGGTCCGCCAGAAACCCCGGCCAAATACACTGGGAAGCAAAAGAGAGGAGCCAAGCTGCTGCAGGCCCAGAGAGCTGAGGAGAGAAGGAAACGCCAGGTGACATTCAGCTTGGCATCCCTAGACCTTGGTGAGTGAGGGTATTTTTCATGGAGATGTAGGGTGTCTGCGGGACCTGGTTAGATGGGGACATATCTAATCTTAGTTGGTGGACACCTAAGACCCTGTGAACTATTGGAGTGAGATGTTTTCAGAGCGTCTAGAGGCATGGCAATGCTGGGATGGGGGTCCTCAGTGCAGATGTGAGTAGGGTAAGTGGCTGTCGAGGGTAAAGTGTTGATGCTTGGGAGTGAGCAGGACAACAGAAGCCTAGGATGGTGGCTGGAAAGGGAGGCAGCAGCTGAGAGGTGTAAGTCGTTAAAGAAGAATGAGTGTGTTTTCTGAGACCAGTTAGGACCCTCGGGTAGGTGCTCCTGGAAAACACATTTGGGTCAGTGAATGGAGTCTTCTAGCATTCAGGGTCCACGGTGAAGTTCTTTGTGTCCCTGGGAATGTACAAGCAGAAGTAAAGTCAGCCAGTGACAGCCATTGACATCAGAGAGCACACTTGACCTGGGCAGGAGCTGGAACACAGCGCTTTCCATTCCAATTCCACCATCTCTTCTAATGAGAAGATGGAAGCCTCAGCCTGTCACTGCAGGAGACCACCTCCTGTGGATGGTCACAGCCATGAAGAGCACTAGAAAGATGTGCCATGAAGAAGGGGTGGTGAGCAGGCCACTGGTGGCTGGGATGTTACCTGCTGTCTCAGTCACTGTTCTATTGCAGTGAGGAGACACAGCTCTTCAAGGCAGCGCTTATAAAAAAGAAAGCAGTTAATGGGGACTGGCTTACAGTTTCAGAGGCTTAGTCCATTATCATCATGGCAGGGAGCATGGCAGCAGAGGTAGCTGAGAGCTACACCCTGATGCACAGAGAGAGACCGGACCTAGTGTGGGCTTTTAAAACCTCAATGCCGGGGCTGGAGAGATGGCTCAGTGGCTAAGAGCACTGACTGCTCTTCCAGAGGACCTGGTTTCAAGTCCCTATACCCACATGGCAGCTCACAACCATCTGTAACTCAAGATCTGACATCCTCACATAGTCATACATGCAGCAAAACACAAATGCAAATAAAATAAAAATAATAAATTATATTTTTAAATAAATAAATAAATAAAACCTCAATGCCACCCAACACTTGGGAAGCAGAGGCAGGCAGATCTCTGTGAGTTCAAGGTCAGCCTTAGTCTACAGAGCTAGTTCCAAAGAACTACAGAGCTAGTTCCAAATTCTACAGAGCCAGGGCCACACAAAGAAACCCTGTCTCAAAACAAAACAAAAACCTCAAAGCACACCTCCAGTGACACACTTCCTCCAACAAGACCACACCTCCTAATCCTTTCAAACAGTTCCACTTCCTAAGCATTCAAACCTGTGAGCCCAAAGGGGCCATTCTCGTTCAAACCACCACACCTCTACTGTGAACCTCAGGATGGGGATCTGGAAGGGAAACCATGCCCTTTGGAACTCACAGCAACTGGGTAAATGGAACCCAAGGGCCAGGTAAGGGAGCAAAGAGACATGACTGAGCAGAAAGGAGCAGCGTAGACAAGAGGACAAGGCAGGTGAGAAACTGGGAAAAGAGGGGCAAAGAGCTTTAGGCCATGGCAGGCAGGAGGTGTGTTAACTCCACGAGCACTAAGAAGCCAGCCCTGGTGATGAAAGCCTGTCATCCCAGCATTTGGGAAAGTGGGGTATCCTGGCCTACCTTGGCTCAAACCATGCTGTAGTGAGACTAAATGTGGAGGCTGTAGGGACCCCAAGGGAGTGGGAAAGAAGAGCTGGGGAGACTTCAAGGGATGATGATGCCTGAGCTAAGCCTGAAAAGTAAGTTAGAAATAATTAGGTGAAGGAATTGGGGGCAGTATGTGTGTGAGCTGGGCTGCCTGGGCGGTGAGTCAGTCAGATCTGTTGTTACAAATACAGGTGAGGGGCCAGTGAGATTGTGCTGTGTCCAATCCACAGCCCCAGGAGCGCACGGGGGTGGGGTGGAGGGTGGGAGTGGGGGCAGGGTGGGTAGGTGGCACAAACTATTTAGAAATGAAAGTCTTCAGATATGAGGATCAAGTTGCTGCTGGGTGACAGCAAATAGCTAAGAGCTTGGCTCTGGGGACTTGAAAGATGTTTCAGTGGTCAAGAGCACTTGCTGAGGGTCGGGGGCTGAAGAGATGGTTCAGAGGTTAAGAGCATTGGCTGCTCTTCCAGAGATCCTGAGTTCAATTCCTAGCAACCACATGATGACTCACAACCATCTATAATGAGATCTGGTGCCCTCTTCTGGCCTGCAGGCATATGTGTGGACAGAACACTGTATACACAAAATAAATAAATAAATCTTAAAAAAAAAAAATAGCTTTTGCAAAGGACCCAAGTTCAGTTCCCAGCACCCACACTCACAACTAATTATAACTCCAGTTCCAGGGATTTTAACACCTTCTGGTCTTTGTTGGCCCTGCACACACATGTGGTACACATACATACATGCACACAAAACATTCACACACATAAATTAAAAGAAATCTTAAGACAAAAGAACTTGTCTGTGGGGCTAATTAAGCTCTGTTAGTAATCAACCCAGGGACTTTGGGCCTCAGTGTCTCTTATCTGAAGAATATGGTCAGTCATAGCACCAACCCCATGTCTACATTTGTCATTCATGAACTGTTTGCCGAATTCCCATCACATGTAAGCGCTATGGTGCAGCCAGGACTCCAGCAGAGAATAAGCTGTTTACTAGAAAACCAAAGCATTGCACCAGGAGTCTCAAACAGGAAGCCCCCCACCCCGAAAGCAGTTATTAATGAACTGAGCTAGTGGGAAATGTGGGGAGATCCTGTCAGCTGGAGACGCCGGGCACCAGGCTCAACTGGAGACTTTAAGCAAAGTGTCCAACAGTGTGAGGGCCTCCAGAGTTCAGCTCCGAGTGCATACAGTGGTGTCTTAGTTATGTTTCTATTGCTGGGATAAAACACCATGACCAAAAGCAACTTGGGAAGGTAAAGGTTTATTTCATCTTCTAGCTTATAGACCATCATCCAGGGAAGTCAGAGCAGGAGCTGATGCAGAGACAATGGAGGAGTGCTGCTTACTGGCTTGCTCCTTATAGCTTGCTCAGCCAGCTTTATTATAGCACCTAGGACCCCCAGCCCAGGGATAGCGCCACCCACAGTGAAGCTGGGCCCTCCCACATCAATCATCAATCGAGAAAACGCACCACAGACCTCCCCATAGGCCAAGTTCTAGAAGAGCATATGACAGAAGGCAGGTAAGCTGTAAGACAGCTGAGCCAGTCCTTTCCTGGGAGGAGGGTGACTTGGCCCCCAGGATGCCTAACTGTCTCCATTAATAGCAGCACATAGGGTCTGCTGTAGTCTTATGTGGATGGCTGTTTTGCCTGCAAGTATGTCTGTGAAGAACGTGTATGCAGTGCTCTTAGAGGCCAGAAAAGGGTGACTGACCCTCCGGAACTAGGGTTACAGATGGTTGTGTAGTACCATGTGGGTGCTGGGAATCGAACCCAGATCCTCTGAAAGAGCAGCCAGTGCTTTTAACCACTGAGTCATCTCTCCAACTCCCTAATTCATTTTTACACATATTTATTTCAGCAGGTAGAGAACGGCTTGGGCCACGGTGCCACTGTGGGCAAAGGATAATTTGTGGGAGTCTTGGTTCTTTCCTCCCACCATATGGGTTGCAGGGATTGGACACAAGTTGTCCAACTTGGAAGAAAGTGCCTTTATCCACTGAGCCATCTCCCTGCCCACCCGCCATATCACTGCAAGTTAGGGGCTGAGGAGTGTGGCTCGGCAGCACAGTACTTCTCCAACAAGCACCAGGCCCTGGGTTTAATTAAGCCTTAGCACCATGAAGAAGAGAACTTGTATGTAGTAAACACAGATGTGTGTATGCATATGTGCATATAGATACATGTATAGCAGCACACTTATGTACAAAGCAACTCTAATAAACACCTCCATTGCCTGAAAAAGTAGGTATCCATTATCCCCATCTTACAGATGAAAAGTGAGACACAGAGACTGAGCAGGAAAGCAGGCCAGCACTCAGACCCAAGCTCTCTGGATTTGCCTTTGCTCCCACCAGAGGGCGCTGTGGTGCCTAGGGTCAGAGTCTGGCGCACCAGCAGAGTGTAGTCAGGAGTTGGGGCACAGGTCACATTAGCTAACATCCCTCACCATCACGATGCAGTGACAGAGCCAGGCAGGAACCAGGTGCCCTGATACACAACCGGCCCCTACAACAGTTTCCCTGTCCCTGGCTCCTGTTAGTCCTCTTCCAAGAAGGAACTCACCTTGTAACCCTCTTCTCCCAAGGGGCATTCCGGTCTTACACCTCCATAGATGATGACATCTATGGAACCAGCAGCCAGGGGCCTGTCTTCAGTCCTGAGCTGGTCACTGCCCACTGCTTCCGGCAGTTCAAGAAGAAAGACTTCCACCT